TTCAATAAAAATCTAATAAATCCTAAATCCATGATTTCAGTGATGTATAATAAAGCATTTTTATGAATGAATCAGAAAGTACAGAAACTAGACAATCACTCTTGCTGTATGAAAACAAACTGAGATCTCAATACACACAGGCACAGCAAAAGTGAAAGTACATTTGAGACACAACAGTTTTTATTTTCAGTTTTGCACTGTCGCCTACATTTTTATAAAGTATATTTGCATCAAAAAATCTACATTAATATTTAACTTTTTATTATGGCATTTGAGGGGTTTATACAATAACAAAAAAAAGGCAGTTGAATATAATATTTGCTTAAGTGAGCAGTTTGAGGTGATTTTCATGTGATTACAGTATTTTTGTGCCACTAATTTGTGGCACTGACTACTAATTCAAGGTCATTTTATTTACTATACTATTATTTGGTGGTGAGTGAGTGCTGTGAGTCTATCACGGATCTTACCTTTATCAAAGGTGGCGGTGAGGAGGCGTCGCTCATGTTCTGTAACCTTCAAGACTTCACAAACTCATAAATATTCGCTACAATAATAATACCTGATTACTGTATCAATAGCTGATCGATATATACACCAAATACAGCATGTGGTGTCGCGTAAAGTCGCAGTCTCGCACAGCAGAGTTTGCTTTCTTATGCGAATCGCTGCAATATTAAGAATCCTTCCGGGAAATGAAAACGAAAGAGAGCGGATCTGCCAGCGGCTGTGGGCACATGAATCTCGCAAACACTGTAGGGAAGAGATCGGTCCTGTGTTTGTGTTTCAGGTAGCCAATCTGGTATTTCCTGAAAGCCCAGAGAGATTAAACGCGTGTGAATTCAGCACAGTGGTAACACTTTAAAAGTGCAATAAGATCGAAACGTTATGAACAACAAAGCAAATTAACTAAATAATGTAGGCTACAGTAGAAGCTCTGAGATAAAAAAAATAAAATAAAAAAAAAGATTAGGCTACTATTCTACGTTTATGCTTACCCAGGTGGCGAGCAGGTATTTCTGTCAACAATTTTCTGTTGAGGCGCGCAGAGGCGGACAGTAACTAAGTACATTTACTTAAGTATTGTACTTAAGTACACTTTTTGAGTATCTGTACTTTACTAGAGTATTATTTTTTCTGGAAACTTATGACTTTAACCTGACTACATTTGAAAGACAAATATTGTACTTTTCACTCCACTACATTTCTATCAAGGTCCTCGAAGTAGAAAGTCGTTACTACCCTTACGAAAAATAAGTTTATTCAAGTGTGCTGTATACTTCTTTTAAACTAAAAATAGGAAAGTATACTTTTAGTCTACTTTTTATGTACTTCTCAGAAATGGGCTTTATGTACTTCTCAGAAATATACTTAAAATGACATTTAAGTATACTTGACTTATACTTAGAAAAAGTCTAAATTGTGCTCCTAGAATCTGTGTTTTCATTGTTATACTGTAGGGGGCGCAAGTACACATCTTCTGTACAGAATTTCCAAAAAACACAAGTGAAGAAGAAACCGAAACAACAGATGCTTCCACATGTAATCTAACACGATCATCAGACATAAAACAGCATCAAAACTGTGTAACGTTATGGAATAAAATGTAGACCAATGAAGAGCTAATAATGACTGTCAAGCTTTGGGGTGTTGATCGACTCTATCTACGTTTTGATTATCATTCTGAATCCA